ACTTCTGAATAACCACAACAAAATTGGAGTAGAGTGCTCAAGTGGTTTTTGAGAATTTCTAATTGTTTATCCCAGAATACCTGTCTTCCTGCCATCACTACTAGTTTATTGAGCAATATGCAAGGTTCGTTCAAAGGGCATTTTATAGCAAAATAAACGAGTTTACCTTGCCGATATTAATCACAAACCATTCCTAAAAGTGAATGTTATTTTTATGCGAAAAGAAAAGGTTACATTTTTTCTTCTACACAAATTCAAACATTTCGTATTTATGAGTAATTGTACAGATGCGCTACGATATTCTAAAAACATACGTTATTATACAGAGTGGCGCATCGAAAACGAAACAGACGCTTTTACTGGCAGCTCAGTTTTTTTTTGGAAAAACGCTTAGACCTGTCGATTTTGTTTTAGAGGGGGACACAAGTTTGGCAAAAAATCACGTGCAGCCCCCTGGGCGGGGGTGACACCAACCCTAAAATCTTAAATAGAAAGGGGGGTCGAGTGATACCTTATTTTAAAAGTCTTTCAATTCCCTTTATAATAATGTAAAATACATGAGCTTCAGTTCAGTAGTTTTGAAGATTTATTGACTTAAAGCTTAAAGTAGACTTTGATAGGTACATCAGATTAGTCTGTACTGCTTTCAGAAGAAATTTGACTAAAAGAATTTACTTAATAAGTAAATGCTTTTCTTCACTACGCGCATGGTTTGTTTATCATTTTGTTGTTGAAAATAGCTATTGGAGCGTTTTTTGTGGCAAAAAAGTTATTTCTTGAAGAAAGATAAGGAAATATCTCGTACTTATTTTAAATAGGAATTTAGTACATAGTTTGCGATTGATTTGACCAAACTTTGTTGCTAAAATAACTTGTAATGCCTTATTACATAAATTAACCATGGTATATTCCACAGCAGAAAGAGTTGAAATTATCGAAATATTTTTCGGAAATAATCAGTGCGCTAATAGAACAGCAGAAATATTTAATGAGCGACATGAGAACAGTAACGTGCATCGAAAATATGTTCTAGAACTTGTAGCTTAATTTCGGGAAACTGGGTCAGTCACCAATAAAAAACGCAACATTGAAAATCCCATAAGGAACGAAGCCATAGAAGTGGGGGTTTAGGGCAAGTTTATGTAGATCCTACGTTAAGTACCCGCAAATTGGAGACTGTGTGCGGTGTTAGTCGACGTACTGTCCAACGGATTGTAAAGGCCCATAGTTTTCATCCGCATAAAATTCACCTGGTACAAGAACTTAATGAAGACGATTTTTATCAGCTATTACAATTTTGTGAAGATATGAGTGAACGAATTATAAACGATGAACATTTTCTATTCAACACTTGCTTTTCCGACGAATGTTCCTTTTTCTTAAATGGCGTAGTAAATCGTCATAACTGCCGATATTGGTCCGATTATAATCCCAGAATTTATCATGAGGTTCATACACAGCAGCCACAAAAATTAAATGTTTGGTATTTTTGGCGATCATTTAGTTGGTCCTTTTTTCTTACCTGGAAATTTGACCGGTGAAATGTATTTGGAATTACAGGAAGACGCCATAGATCCTGCATTAACAGCCATAATGGAAAATCAGCATGGTCGGCGGTACATTGCGAATAGGTTGATATTCCAACAGGATGGTGCCCCACCACATTACGCATCACGTGTTCGACAATATTTAGATCAGACGTTTCCAGATCGATGGATTGGTAGAAGAGGTGCCATTGAATGGCCCCCAAGATCGCCAGATTTATCACCTTTGGATTTCTTTATGTGGGGTCATTTAAAAAGCAAAATCTATGCTACTCAGCCAACATCATTAGAAGACCTGCGACAAAGAATTGTGAATGAGTGCCTTCAAATTACTCCTCAAATATTGCAAAATGTGCGGCAACGTTTTGAGCAAAATCTTTATTATTGCATGGAGAGTCGTGGTGGCCATTTTCAACATTTACTTGCCTAACGGGTCAGTTCATTCTTCATTTTTATATTACTTTGCTGCCAAATGTATTGATATCCATTAATGATGATGTATTAGGTTTATTTAAGCTTTAAATAAATAAATCTTCAAAACTACTGAACTGAAGTACATTAATTTTATATCATTATAAATGAAGGAATTGAAAGACCTTTAAAATGAGGTATCACTCGACCCCCCTTTCCATTTAAGATTTTGGGGGTGGTATCACCCCCGCTTAGGGGGCTGCACGTGCTAACGTGATTTTTTGCCAAACTTGTGTCCCCCTCGAAAACAAAATCGACGGGTCTGAGCGTTTAAAAAAAACTGAGATGATAGTAAATGCGTCTGTTTCGTTTTCGATGCGCCACCCTGTATACATTTTGAAACAGCGCGGATGTGTCTATCCCCTTTTGTTGCGAAGAAAAAAAGGTTTTTCATGATCTCGTCATACTCTTATGTATGTATACTTATTTAGAGCTGATATTTGTACACGGTCACAGATGAGCCTTAAAGTTTATGAAAAAAATATTTCATACTGAAAAGCACTGAATTGTTTATAAAGTTAGCAAGCAAACTGAAGCCACAATAATTGTGATTCGAACTGTCAGTCTAGTTAGTATGTAGCAAGTGCTAAATAGCTACATTATTCATGACTACATGACTTTGTCAGATATGTAGGTCACGAAATCCAGTTTCTTTACGGAGAAATATATTTCCCCCTACATTTTTCTAAGGGTTGATTTTACAAAAAGACTGGCTATTATTTTCAACCAATCACATTAGACAACCCACAGTCAAATTGTAGTAACCAATGACATTTGAAGCCTAAAAAATAATAGCTGTCAAACTATGCGATGTCAGGTTAACATCAAAATGTTTTAGAATTGATTGATTATCTTAAAAATCATCATGATTAATATTATTATTATAAAAATATGTAATATGCAAGTGGAAACTACAGTTTTATCATTTTGGTGCATAATCTCTAGTCATTTTAGCACTTCTGCTTGTTAAATTTGAAGAAATGTTTCAACCGGCACAGCCTTTTCTTATTATAAATATATACATACCTGATAGCAGAAATTTTCTGATACTTAATTTGCAATTTGAAGATTCAACAGACCATGATGGTTTTCACACTTTTCAAATATTCTTCAAAATTTGATATCAGTCTAGCTCCAACTGTCATAGATGCTATGTTTGTGTTCTTACTTTACATTCAAAACCAGCAAATGTAACAGATTCTTTTCAAAGTGCCGACGCACACTCCACCTCGGGACCTGATTGTGGTTAGACTTGGCAACCCTGCGAGACCGATAGAAATCCCACCAATCAAAAAAGTCAACCAAACAACAAACATTATTATTATTTATCATTTTTGAAGTTTGAAGGCCTTTTCAGACATTATTTATAATTTTTTGTTAAGTATATAGTAATTGCATTATGCACCACTAAGTTGTAGGGATTGACACGTTTTGCACATGTTGGTGTTTTAGGATGGAGAGGGCATACTGTTTTGAGTGCTTTGAAGAAATGCATCAGCCCATAGATTGATAATAAATAATCAAAAGTATGATATAAAGAAAGATGGGGAATTGGTTGGAATACATTTTATATTCTATTTTCTTGCAAAATACAGCCAAATCCGCACATTTCAACAGGTATCTGGCTATAATGATAACATTTAAAGTAAAGTTGTCATGTTTTTCTGTACAAAATCATCAGATTGGAACCAAGAAGTGCTCTTGTTTATAATACAATTGCTTTTTCAATATTTCAATAGAAATCACTAATATTCAGAGAGCTTTGACAGCTTCCGTCAAATTGCATTTCGATAAGGTATTTTCCCATTGGTCCAACTGACCGTTAAATATTAATGTTTGTGAAATCTATCCTAAAATTATTAATACAATATGTGTTTGATTTCGACATGTCGTATAATTAAACCGACTACGAGTTCAAAATGTTGGAAAATAAACTCGAGAAAACGAAAAAACTGTAGACAAAAATCAACCAATTGTAGCGAACTGTCCGTCTGAAAATTTAGGAAGAATGCTCGGTTTTAGTCCCTCATGCATTATTTCAAGGCTTAGCGTTGTATCTTGTATAGCTTTTGAGATTATTCTAATTGTTTATAGCAGATTTGATGTGCATCCACGTTCGCTTGACATTTGACCGTGTCAAGTATAGTGGTATAAGTGTCCACTAAAAAGGCGTCGTAGTGTAGTGGGAAGGAGTAACGGTTGCAGATCCGCAGGACGGAGGTTCGAATCCACAAAGCTCCTTTTTTTCTTCTAAATGATTTGTCACATTGGAAGCATAACTAATAATAAATACTAGCTAATAATATAAGCTATAAACCCATTGTCTGAGAAAATCTATCCGATGCTGTTTATGTTGTGAATATTTTATTTATACGCATTACCGTACTATTATATGTCAAAGAGAAAGAAATCTGGATACTTGCTTAGATCATATTCAGAATAATGACATACAACAATGCAATATGTCTGACAAACATATTTTCAACTAGTAATCACAATGGCAGAATATACATATTCAGATTCTATAATGTTTACCGTTACCGTTTCAAAAGTATAATTTCGTTTTCTCTACTGTACACATATAGTTATGTATAACTAATTTTCTCGACCACCGACTGTAACGAGAGCTTATTGTATAGTTTCAGGAAGTTTTTAATATACCATTTTCGACGGCATAATGGTACGTATGATTTTGAAATTAGCTGCAATTTGGTGTAGTTAGAATGGTATCGTTTTAAAATGAGAACAGGTCAAAGTCTAGGATAATATTAAGAGTAATAGATCAATCGAATGTATTGATTCTTAGGTTTTTGACATTTTCTCACAAAACATCAAAAAGAGTTTTATGCAATTCGTAACTTCCACTATATTCCCGAAGGAGAGTGATAAAATCTTGCTTAAAACCAGCTCAGATCAGAATTGTAGAACAATGTCAATGGAATTGCCTGAAGCAGTAAGTTCTAATAATGTGTTTCTTTATTACAGGTAAATGCCTACTCCACTTTAGTATCAATCAGGCAAGGTACGTTGGCTAAGTTATAATAGTACATTTTATACTCAGGCTGAGGAGTAAGCTATTATTGGCCTTCTCAAACGGGGTATGTGTAACATTGTTTTCACTCCTACATTCAATTTTATAATATTCAAATATTTTCATTGTATTCATTGACCCTAACCTATACTTATATCAACGGTCATGAAGTTTCCTACTTACTTTACAAATACCTTGAACATCTAATAGCCTGGTGTCAAATGAATGAAACCAAAACCAGATTTGGTCTGTGGACTAGTCTGTTCCAATTTCGTAGTAGGGTGCTAAAGTTTCTTGTTTCTTGATTCTGTCTTCAGTTTGCTAGCATTGAAAACCCCTTTCCAATACTTACTGGATTATTGGAATATTCAAGAAGAGTAGCTAGTAACTATTTCGCAGTTGTCAAACTGACATAATAAAGTTAGCAGGATACGATTTTAAATGACATTATTTTTCAAGGTGTTTTTTTATTATCATCGTTTACCGAGAGAGAGAGAGAGAGAGAGAGAGAGAGTAAAGCTTCTTCTCAGTAGGACATTGCGGTCAATAATGGTGAATTTGTAGTGAAAAAAATATCAGCATACGTCTTGTTTGTTATAACCGACATAGGCTTGTTTTTACCTTTATTTGTGCTTCTCCTGTCATTTCAACTTCAACTAATTTAAGACTCTACGCATATATCATGATTTTTCTTCAATGGTAGATATGTCTTTAACCCTTGAAAAATTAACGAATTTCGATACATGTGGGTACTTTAAGACGTCGATTTCGGATGTGGCGACCAAAAAAACTTAAAGCTTCGCAAAATCGTACTTGGAACAGGAAAATAGACCTCCTCAAGTCACAGCGAAAAACGAACAAAAAAATCGTGGTCTACGTAACCAATTAATCCACAACAAATTCTTATCTGAGTTGTAGAAGTACCACTAGATGCGCTTTTAATCTTTCATAGTTCTTCAATACGGTAGAGCCAATTATATCCTATACCTAGACGGTATCACAATAATTTACAGCACTATTACCTCACGTACCTAATAAAAGTATTTGCACCAACATTCCTTTATATAAAAACTTATCAAATAATGGCATCTTGAAATTGCAGACTATTATCATAAAACTAAGCCAGTAATTAATTTTTTTTAGCTATAAAGGTCACCATAACAGCTTAACCTTTCAACACCACATTTAGCAAATCTATACGTAAACAACTGAATCATTGAAAGAGTTATCGATGAATAACGATCAATCAAAATTCGCAAGGAGTTATTTTTAAATAAGTAGTAGGTATCCTTTCGACCATTAATCACTGTTAAGTTCGACCTCAATCCTGTTTTCCAGTCAGTCTCAAGATTTTAATTATACCGGTGTATATACATATTTATGACGGGGGAATTTGGGTCGATTCAATTAGTCTGAAAATAAAATTAATTAATTGCTGTTTGTACAAGAAATTCTTTGTAAATTTTAATCGGATTCATCGTTAGGAATTTAAAAATATATATTTGATTCATTTGGACTAGTTGCGAATGAACATACATGCAGGTGCTTTGATAAGTACTTACAGTGCTTTTGAAAAAAGTCTTCCCGTAACTTATTTTTTGAACGGGTCAAGCTAGAAAGCTGAAATTCGAGTTGAAGAAACTGATGCATGACTACGCGGAAGTAACGGAACTTTTAAGATGGCGGCTGAACGACATCTTGGAACATTTTTTTATAGAACGAGGAGTAACGTGACGTCTCATTGTTACAAAATAGTGGACGTAACCAATTTCACAATTTTTTACACAATCTGTAATTTATTATTGAGCTTAGTTATACATTTAGATTTTCAGCAAGGTAAGGATTCTAGACTGGAGCACTGAAGTATATATGTGAGATTTTGTCTGCTAAAAATGTCCTGTGCGATAAAACTAAAAAGCTTTCCTTTGATACAAATAAATATACCTTAATGAAAATGCATGGGAACATAAATAATAATAAGTGTCTGCATAATTAGGAGTATAATAATTAATATTAATGTTTTCGTCTGTCTCTGATGAAGAGTGGGAATACCTCTCGCTGTTTTTCCAATGGGATCGTCGAAATTTACTTCTGAATAAAACTTTTACTTCCCACATACGAGTGAGAAAAAATACAATGATCACAAATTTAGAATATTATATAATACTACGTTTCTACTTTACATGTTGCCTACTCGTATATATCTCTATATCACATGAGCTACATCGGTTGGTATGTTTATCGCCGCACTATCTCATCAATCACTACAATGATTTTAATGAAACCCGTGAAGATATATCATTATGAATATATACCAACTTGTTTTTAATCGTTTTTCAAACTGCATAATTCAACATCTACATGAGGAAGGCATACACTCAGTTGGAGAAAGAACAACCAAAATTCCATTTCTAAAATGTTCCAGAAAAAATCTGCCGTTGATCAACATAAATGAATGACAGACGGGGGGGCGTCAAATATTTTAAAGATGCACCTATCCAAATTGCATTGCGTTGGACGTCCAGGGCTTTTTTCATCGTCTAGACGTTGCCCCAATATCCAATAAATATTCCAGAGCTCGATTTTGAATTCCTCCAACTCTTCCAACTGCTACGCTGTAATCCCTTTTTTTATCGTTCCGAATCCCTTTTATGCATTTTTACAGTAGCTTGCGTAAGATCTCTATTTGTAACATAAGGTACCTATGATATAGAATTTTTGATGTACGAGGTCAAGTCAGGCGAATAAGGGGTCTGAAGAGCCACGGGAATGTTTTACTTGCCAAAAACTCGTTTATCGAAATTGCTGTGTGACAAGGAGCATTATCGTGATGCTACACCCAGTTGTTCTTGATCTGAAGAACGGTGGTATGAGTCAAATTTAACTCTTCCCCGATCATTCTGACTGACATTCGACGATCTGAATGCACAAGATCCCAGATTCTGTCGATATTTTCATCGGTCCTTGAATCTGAAGGCCTTCCGCTTCGTGGTTCATCTTCAATCGACTCTCTCCCTTCTGTGAATGCCTTAAAACACCTTAAAACCTAGGGTCTTGACAAAACACTCTATCTCCGTAGGTCTGCTGAAGAGCAAGAGTTCCCGTTGCACTGTGCCCAAGACTTAAGCAAAACCTGAGAGCACACCGTTGCTCGAAATTGGTGTCGCCCACTGTTGCCAAATCGAACGCTACGTTGCCAGTCTCGTACGTATCCTTTTTCAAGATAATTGTTTTCACACTCTTGGTCCTAGGAATTAACCATTATTCATTCCTATCAAAATTAAACGCTGGAAAAACGTCAAATTTGGCTTGAAATGTTTGCCTTTCATCCTGAGTTCGATATATGGTAATAAGATGACAAGGTGGTAGCAACAGAGTATATAAAAGGTGATCTACGCCCGTATTCCGAAAGAGTCCCAATTAACTCTATGTGCAGGTGTGCTGTCGTGACATAACCCAAAATGAAAACTCGTACGAAATGCTAAACTTTCCAGTTAATAAAGTAAGAAAACCATTGTGTCCACCAATCAGAGCTGATTGTTTGGATTTCTTTCGTTTAGCACAACTTCAACAATCCTTTCTTTTGCCAGACCGAGAAGTTTTCGCCTAAACAAGTTACTTTTCGTCTTCGAAGACCAAAACTTTTTGAGTCTCTATGAGCACGTCACCGCAGTAGTAATCAAATCATCAGTAGGTTTCCCAGATCTTTTGACCACTCAACTACTCAGGTAAAATAAGATTTTGTATAAATATTGTTGATCTTTGAACTAGTTTCATATGGTTATTTTGGAAGTGAAGGATTTGAATAACTTTAAAATGCAATCCAAATCTTTTTAAACTGAACCTGAACCTAATTTTTGTGATAACTGAATTATTATGGAAATAACAATATTTTGTTGATGTATGTCATTAAGGGAGCAATCAACAGAGAGGATTTAAAGCTAAGTTTGTTTGTTCCGGTTTCATATAAGAATGTAGTTATAGTTGTGTATCTTCAGTATTGAGAATTTTATCGCATGAATTGAATAGAGGACTCCTAAAATCGCCAATTTTATATACTTTCATCGACATACTAACTTAGTTTTGAATTTTCTTGGTTGATATGGTGGGTTCCATGAGAGGCATTTATAAAAGTTCCTTGACGATTGAGTACCGCACGGGTATTATGTAAAAAACCTATAAAACATCAAAAAAAAAATAAGTAAGATGTCTTCTTGCAGACTAGTTAGTTTTTAGGGTGCAAACAGTCATTCCACGTTTGCTCACTAGTGAGCGTCCATCTATGGAGGAATGGCTCAACTGCACGTACACACATTGTTGGTTGCATATGTTTTGTGGAGCCTATTGGTCTATGGTTTTCATCTTTGAGTCTCTGAGAAGAAAGTTGGTTATTATATTGAATAGCAAGGTAGCATCTGGATGATTGTGTGTATTGTTCTGCATGAGTATAAAATCATTGTTTTCCTGTGTGAGAAAATGATTACTAAATATGCTGGCAATGAAGAATATCTATTAGCTGTTCCCGATGGGTTACTTATATGTTGTCTTTCCAGAAGACAGGTTATATTCAAAGTTACCAATTACGATTTTTTTGGTTTTTTTTTGGTTTCAAAAACTTTTAGGAGAATTACGGGAAATCACCACCACGCCCGCTATGTGTGTAATTACTGTTAGCATGTATATGACTAACTTGTAACTCGACAGTGTACAGAGAATATAATTATTTTTTATCTCTCGCATTTTTGAAATTCAGCAAATTTGCATACGTAATTTCCAGAATGGATAAGAAAAATTGGATGAGCATATAATTTCTAGCTTTGAATCTCAAGTAAGTGTCTTTGAGACAAGAATCCAATGGAATTATCATCAACATATATTATTAGCACACAAATCCTGACTATGCCGTTACCTCCAGTAATGCCATCTCTGAAGCAGATTTTACATCACATCATAGCCAAACATTGATAACTGAATCCACATGACGTTTAGGC